AAAAAAAAAAAAAAAAAAAAAACCACAGGTAAAGCTCTTCCTGGTATTCCAAGATCCAGCTGACATCAGCATTGATATCCCTTGCCCCGCATCCTATTCTGAATCTAGCTTGAACTTCTGGCAGTTCCCTGTTGATGTACTGCTACAACTGTTTTTTAATTATCTTCAGGAAGACTTTAATTATGTATGATGTTAATGCTATTATTTGATAATTTCCACATCCTGTTGGATTACCTTTTTTAGAATGGGCATAAATATGGGTCTCATCTAGTTGGTTGGCCAGGTAGCTGTCTTCCAAATATCTTGGCATAGATGAGTGAGTGCTTCCAGTATCGCATCCAGTTGTTGCAACATCTCAGTTGGAATTCCAACACTGTCTGGAATCTTATTTTTTGCCACTGCCTTCAGTGCAGCTTGGGCTTCTTCCTTCAATACCATCAGTTCTTTAACATTTGCTACCTCCTGAAATGGCTGAAAGTTGACCAATTCTTTGTGGTGCAGTGATTGTATATTCCTTCCATCTTCTTTCGGTGCTTCCTACATTATTCAGTATTTTGCCTATTGTTGTTGTTGTTGTTATGTGCCGTCGAGTCAAACCCGACTCATAGCGACCCCTCCTTGAGTTTCCGAGGCAGTGTCACTACGGAAGTAGGATTGACCAACCTTCCTTCTGAGGAGTGGCTGGTGGGTTTGAACTGCCAGCCGTCTGGTTAGCAGGGAAGTGTCTTAGCCACTATGCTACCAGAGCTCCCATTTTGCCTATAGAATCCTTCAAAATTGCAATTTAAGACTTGATTATTATTATTATGAGTTCTTTCAGCTTAAGAAATGCTAAGCATGTTCTTCCCTTATGGTTTTCTAACTCCAGGTCTTTGCACATTTCCTTATAATAACTTTATTTTTGTCTTCTCAAGCTGCCCTTTGACATCTTCTGTTCAGCTTTTTTATTTCATTATTTTGTCCTTTTGCTTTAGCTACTCTCTGTTTAAGAGAAAGTTTCAGAATCTCTCCTGATAGCCATTTTGGTCTTTTTTTTTTCTTTTTAATGAACTTTTGCTTTCTTTATGTATGATATCTTGATGTCACCCCACAACTCGCCTGGTCTTTGGTCATCAGTGTTCAAAGTGTCGAATCTGTTCTTGAGATGGTCTCTGAATTTAGGTGGGATATACTCACAGTTGTACTTTAGCTCTTGTGGACTTGTTTTAATTTTCTTCAGCTTCAACCTGAATTTGCATATGAGCAGTTGATGCTCTTTTCCACAGATGGCCCCACCCTTGTTTTGACTGATAATATTGAGCTTCTCCATCATCTCTTTTCACAGATGTAGTCTATTTGATTCCTGTGTTTTCCATCTGGCAAGGTTCACATGGATAGTCACCTTTTTTGTTGTTGGAAAAAGGCATTTCCAATGAATAGGTTGTTAGTCTTAGAAAATTCTATCATGGATCTCTGGTATCATTTCTATCACAGGCCATATTTCCCAACTAGTCATCCTCTTCTTTGTTTCCAATTCTCACATTCCCAGTAATTATCAATGCATCTTGATTGCATGTTTGATCAATATTATCTTGATTGCTGATTTTCTGTTGGCACCTCTTTCAATTTTGTGTCCAATGGGAATGTCTCACTTGCCTCACCCTAGACCCCACCAGAGAAGGCCTAGGTACTTCCCAGGAACTCAGGGCCCTAAGATCTGAAAACCTTAGGTCACTGAGTCTTCACAACTGCCCTGAAAGACTGGGCTCGCCAGATACCAATTCCACTTTTCAGAGACACGCACCAAGGCTCCAAGTGGGGGAGTGCTGTCCCAGGTTGGCCCTCCCCCTTCATTCAGGCTCAGAGCTTAAGGCTAGGTTGCCCTTGGCTAGTAGCTCCAGGCCACAAGTCCTTGTGTTCTAGGGGCAGTGACCGCTGCCGGCATTTTGTCATCAACCAGCTCCGAAACCGACGCTACCTCATCTCAGGGGACACCCAGAGCCACAGCACCCTGGCTGAGCTCCTGCACCATTACCAGGAGGTGCAGTTTGAGCCCTTCGGGGAGACCCTGGCTGCTGCCTGCCCACGGGTAGGCATCCCTCTTCCCTAGGATGAGGGTGGTGGGGCAGGGTGCCCATGTCCAGGATGTCTGTCATTCGGACATAAGCCTTTTCTCACTTTCCCTATTTACTGCCATCTGGGGGCATTCAGTGCAGGACTGTGGGTCCTGTTTGAAAAGGGAAGACCAAGGCAGCAGCTTATCTAAGGCTTACCTGAGGGACCTTGTGAGAATGTCTCAGTCCCTCTCCAGAAGTCTCTGATAGGCAACTGGAGGGTGGCCTGGGGTGTATGACCACGTGCCTACCGTGCCCCTTGTCCCCAGCTAGAGGACAATGATCTGTATGATGCCGTCACTGTGGGCCTCCACCAGACCAACCCAGGCCTGGAAAGTCAACCTGCCATGGTGTCCCCAATGGTTGCCCCAGACAAGGCCGCCAGCCACTGCCCTGCTCCAAAGCCCCAAGTTTCCTTCCTCCACACAAAGAAGACGCTTGCTTCAAGTCCCAGAAACCTCTCTGAGGAGGAAACCAAGGAGGTGAGGAGGGTTCTGGGGCCCCCCAAGGTCAGGGTTGCCAGTGCAGGAACTTAAGTACCCACAGTCAGGCCTGAGAAATCCTGCTGGCCAGTCCCCTTAGGCTTCGGATAGTGAGTACCAGGTCAAGAGAAGGATAGTCCCAGCTTGGAATGGCTCAGGGGTTCACCCACACTTATGGCCTGCCTCTGGTCAGCTGGGTTTGGTTCAAGCCTTGGCTTCACCAACTTTTAGCTGTGTGATTTTGGGCAAGTCACTTGATCTCTCCGAGCAGCAGTTTACCATTCCCAAAATTGCTATGAGGTTTGAATGAAAGGATATAAAATGACTGAAGATCCATTGTAAACTACAGAGCAGGGTGCCTGTGAGTCAATACTTTATTCTCCTCTATAGCACCTCACGCGAGGGACTCAGAATTTTTCTTTATATCAGATCACAGTATGCCAAGGGCTTCTCCCTTCCAAAATATTCACCAGGATCCATATGACCTTCGCTAAATGTAGTGTTACCTCTCCCTTTTTCTTTTTCTTCTCTAGCCTCACTGGCCATCTGGATCCTCCTTGAACACACAAAGCTCACTCCCACCTTAGGGTCTTTGCACATGTACCTTCTGCCTGGGGGGGGGGGTTCTTCCCACTAGATGTCAGCATCCTCACAATCTTACTTCATTCCAATCTTGGTTTAAATATCCTCCCTCCCACCTGTCATTCTCTCTATCCCCTTACCCTGTCTTCTTCACAGCACTGGTCACAACCTGACACTGTATGATGATATACAACACAATGCGATGCACTGCTATGGAGTCGGATCCAACTCATAGCAACCTGTCCTTGGGTTTCCAAGGCAGTAGCACTATGGAAGTAGATTGCCCAACCTTCCTTCCAAGGAGTGGCTGGTGGGTTCGAACCATCAGCCTTCTGGTTAGCAGTCAAATGCCTTAGGCACTATGCCACCAGAGCTCCCATATGATATAATATTGTGTATTATTGCAAACCGTACTATATTATGAAACAGAGTGGTGCATTGCCTAGCTCTCAGATTAGAATGCTAAGTCCCCAAGTTGGTCTGGCTCACCACTAGGTCCTTACTACCTAGGACAGTGTCTGGCATACAGTCAGCACTAAATATTTATTGAATGAATACTGAATTGGGGCAGGCCGTTCTGGTGGGGGAGGGACCAGTGAATAAGTGGGTTCAGGGGCCTCTGAGAGACCAGCATACTTTACTGGAGGGGGAGGAACCAGGCTGGATGCACTTGGTGGGAGGTAGAGCTGATGAGATAAGGACCTTATTCAGAGCCTAGAACATGAGTGTTGGCATGGACTCTCAATGTCATGTGTCCAAACCCAGTATGCAACAATCAGGTAAAGTGAGGCTGAGATAGGAGGCTTCAGCTTACCTGAGAGAGCTTCTGTTCACCTGAGGGCCTCCTTAAGAGGTTCTCTGTCCCTGTCTCTCCAGACCTCCATCAGGGTGCCCCTGCAGCCTGAGAGAAGTACCTCCCTCCTGGACGAAGGAGAAGGCCCCAATGACATCATCTATGCAGACCTGAGGAAGATGAACCAGGCCCAGCTAGGCCTGCGCACAGAGGTGTCTAGCAGGCAGGGGGCAGTTCTTGCTGGCCGCCAGACCTGCTCCCCAACCAGGGAGGACCTGGGGAGACTTTCAGATGGAGGCCACAACAGGCCTGATGGCCCTGGGCCTGCTCTTGCTGGGATGAGCCCAGACCCAACAGTATCTCCCACATCCTGGGGGTTCCTCCTACCCCCAAGTTCTGAGGGCCTGGGATCTCCAGCTGTGACCTGGAGCCAGGGCTCTCTAATGCTGAACCACAAGGCTCAGCCCTGCTCCCAGAACAGCTCTGCAGACACCTATGAGCTCACTGGGACAACAGGCCCCCTGCAGCAGACCAGGGATGGGCCAAACGAAAAAGGTGATACCTACGAGCAGATCCCAGACTGCTGGGCTTACCCTGCCAGGCCCCCACATCCTGGGGCCAGTCTCACCTACAGCAAGCTTTCAGGGCCCACAGAATATGGCTACGAGAGGATCCCAGAGCCCGGGAACACCTATGAGCAAATTCCAGCAGTCAAGAGCAAGGAGACTGGACGGACACATAAGGTAGGCTCCATGGGTAGAGAGAGGTGGTGGACCTGTGGCTGTCAACCAGGGCAAGCCAGGTCTCTGCCAGTGCCCAGAATTATATCCTTCGTCTGGTGGTGATGGGAGAGGTGGCTGCCAGATGTGAATAGAGGATGGGGCATCCATGTCTGCTCTTTCCCTGGCTGCAAAGTCCCATGTCCTCTCCTATCCCTGGTGGCCCCATTTACAGTCCCACCTCCACCCTGAGTAGGACATTAGAGTATCCTGCGGCCCCCAGTTGGGCCAGAGAACTCTGAGGGGTGGGACACCTGGAGCTTGATATTTATTCCATTCTCCTTTCTAGGCCTTTCCTTCCCCTTAGGCTCCTTAGTCAGAAGAGGGCAGATGCTTAATCCAGACCCAGAGGTCTGATGGTGCCATTTCAGGCACTTTGAGAGGCTTGTGGGAAGAGGTGGAAGTAACCATTAGTATTCCAACTTGGCCTCATTTCCTCCCTCTACCCCCTCAAGTGAATGCAGACAGACCCTCTGAGCCTGGGTCTCTCCATCCCTGTCCAGGGACCTAGACCCAGCACCTTCTCCCCCCTTGCAGCCTGACAAGCTCCGGAGGCTCTTCTTCACAGACAAGAAGCACAAATTCTGAGGAAGGTCTAGCTTCCAGCAGCCTACACAAGTGGGTCTCCTGGTACCTGAGCTGTGCCGGAAGCTATGAGAAAGCTCCCAACTCACCTGAAGACTCAGATCCTCAGACCCAACCAGCCTGCCCTGGATCCAGGCTCAGAGACACAGCCCAGATGGCTACCTGAAGAAGCAGCAGGAGGGGGCCTTTCAGCTGTCTGCAGTCCATGGCTGTGCTCTGCTTCCCTAGTGCCTGCCACCCACCCAAAGGAGGCAACCAAGGCTCAAGAAGAGTGGGGACTGACAGGGTTCATTACCTCCATGTCCCAGATGGACCTGCTGAGGCCTGGACTGATAGACTAGGCTTGCCTTCTACTCTTCCATCCATGTGCTCACTGAACATTTACCGAGCACGTGATGAGCCCTGTGCTAGGACAGAATCTTCCTAACTGGTTGAGACACTTCCTGCCATGGCTCTTGAGACCAAAGCCAGTTCTCTTCCTTGGGTCCTATCAGCAGGAAGGAGAGGAGGCCCACAAGTCACAGCTCTTGCTCCTGCCCCATGGTGACTAGGGCAAGAAGCCATGGGAAAGGGCAGCAAAAGTGGTCACCCAGGTAACTGTTCTCATCCTGAATTAGGCCCGGCTCCCAGGGACCATCACCTCAGCTCCTCTCTGCCTTCTGCCTTTGTACCAGTCTCACCACGTGAGCTAGCAGACTCTAAGGGTTATCCAGTCCAACCTCTTTGTGCTGCAGATGGGGAAACTGAGGTCCAGAGAGGAGCATCAATATACTTAGGGTCACACAACAGGGCAGGGCCTGGATAGATAGCACTTAGTAAGGCAGGTTCAAGCCAGGTCAGTCTGGGGTGGTTTCTGGAGCCAGCCAGAGGGCACTTGTGGTCACCACTATCTAACTAAGTCACCCTTGCCTAGCCTCTTCCTCCAGGCCGTTATAGCCTTTAGGCATGGCCTCCAGACCCTTCCCATGAGACCTAGCCCCAATCTGGTGGCTCTGACCTCCAAGAAACCTAAAAGACCAGCCCTGGACACAGCCTCAGTCCTTTTCCTAAAGCCATTCCCTCAGGCCAGGCTGCTTCCTAACTCTCCTCCCCTGTGGATCCTTCCTGTTTTGTCCTCACTTCCCCTCTTATACATGAATCCCTACCTCCATAAGGATGAGCAATTGGCCTGCTGCCCCTACTGCCCCCAGGCCCAGGAAGTGGAAAACAGAACTGACCAGCATCAGACACCACAGGCACCCTGGCCCAGCCCCTGGACTGAGAAGGTGCCATTCACATTTGTGGGAAAATCTGTCCTCTGCTGTCTCTTCACTCTGCAGCTTCTCCCTCTGAAAAAATGGAATTCTAAGTGTACCTGTCTCAGCGGGGCAGGGGGTGGGGGTTGTAAGGATTGGTAGTAAAGCAGCTATCCTTGTGTCTGACACATGGCTGGTGTTCTGTGTTAACTGTAATTATGTTATGAAGGGAGTGGAGACAATTCTCACCCTATGTCCTTTGCGGGGTTTACATAGAGATCTGGGGCACAGATGAGTTCTCCTCCCAAAGGTACCAGCATTGAAAACAATTTAGTGCCTAATGGGGGAGGGCAATGCTTAGCCCTGAGAGGTGAAGCACTAATGATGGGATTTCAAGGATTGGGAGAAAAGGTACCATACTTCCTAACATTGGCAGACACTAAGAGAGTATCTGCCTTACTACCAGGAATTCACAAATCTATGGACAGCAAGGACTGCATATTACTGGGAAGGGTAGATGTGGTGGTGCTCACAACCTGGAGGCAGAGACAGGGGCAGAGCCCTTAGACCCACTGTTCACACAGCTTCACATTGGGAGGCAGGGAGATGGGGAGCAGGCAGGGGGGTGAAGTGTGGCCTAGCCTTGGGTTCTGGAGAGAGATTGCATAGCTCATTAAAATCCTGTTCCTGCCAGTCCCCCTTTTTGCACTCTGCTCTGGGTAACCAGGCTATTTGCCCAGCACTTGGACAAGTGAGCGAGCATCCCCCACAACCTTTAGCAATGGAGTTGGGGGAAGGTGGTGGAGCAGAGAGCCTACAGGGGCCACGGGTCCTTGGTCCAGACCACAGGGGGCCTGGGAAGAGACCTACTCCTCACATCCCCCCTTCCCTGGTTAAAGTTTTTTTGTTTGTTTGTTTTTTGTTTTTTTGCTGAAGGGCTACAGGAAATGTTCATTAGTATAGACCCCAGAGGTCAAGGCCAAAGCTCCTTTCCTGGGAAGCCTGGAGATCACATCCATATAGACAGCAGGGCTAGATGTTGGGCTTCCAGGCCCCTGTGGCCTCAGCAATGTTCTCAGATCCGGACATGGAACGTGCTGGAAAGAGAATGATAGAGAGGGTGAGAGGCCCTGGATTAAGTGGGTGAAAAAAAGCAAACCAGGCCCTCAGCCTAACCTACCCCAATTCCTTAAGGAACCCTGCAGAGAGATCCCCTAGTTAATCAATGCTGAGGGAATGAGCCAGGGTTCTTGTGTGGATCAGGCTTGAAGGACCCACTGTCCTTAGGGATTCTAGCTCCCCAATCATAACCAAAAGACCCCAGGTCTTTATTATTCATATACTGAGAGCCTAGGCCCTGCAGGAGAAAAGGGACTTCCTAGTCACACATCGAGGGGAGCCAACCCTCCTGCCTCTGGCCTGCATAAGGTCTGCTTGGCACCACTGCTGTCATGAGCAGTGAGTGACAAGGGCCTCATCCCTCTTGGGGTCCCAGGAGGCCAGACTGTCTGGCTGTGGCCCCACAATCAGGCTTGTCTTGCCCTAGCCCAGCCCCTCTGGGTGGTGACACCTGAGAAAGTCAGGGGCCTTGGCGATCATGTCCTCAAAGTCAGCAAAGCCCAGCTTGCCATCGCCATCCAGGTCAGCCTCTTCGATGACCTTGTCGCACACGAGCACCACCTCTTCCTCGTCCAGCTCCGACTTGGTGAGCCGGGCCAGTGTCATCTCCAAATCCTCCTTGCAGATGAAGTTGTCAGTGTTGAAGTCTGTGGAAGTTGGAGATTCTCAAGCCAGGTCCAGGTCTCCTCAGGGATTCCAAGGGACCTGGCCTTCATCACGTCTTCCTCTAAGCTGGTCATACCTGATATCCCCACCAAACCTTCGGAGTCCACAAAGCATCTCTACATACACTGTGGGGATACTGATCCCAGTCCACGTAGGGGAGAGGCCTCAGTACCCCCAAAGCATATCTTGAACACCCACATCCAACAAATTAGCCTTCACAGCAACTCACAAAAAAATAAAAACCACATTGGCAGTATTCACAGTCTCATCCTGAGACAGCTCAAGGGTTCAAATCTGAGGCTCCCTGGGAATTTCAGGCCCAGACCAAATGGCCCTCCTGGCCTAACCCCACAATGGACTGTATTTTACCTCTACGTCCAAGGAAACCAAGGCCCAGACAGGCCAAGTGACTTAATCAAGGTCTAACAGCTGCTCAAGAGTTGGAGCAGGGATCCTGACCTGGGCCTTTTTTGACTGTAAGGCCCATAATATCTTTTTTTTTTTTTTTAATTTTTATTGTGATTTGGGTTAAAGTTTACAGAGCAAATTTATTTTCCATACAGCAGTTCGTACATATTTTGTCTCATGACATTGACTGCAACTCCCCACAATGTAACAGCTCTCTTCCCACTTCCCTATCTTATCTTCTTAACTATACCACACTGCCTTGGACAGGCCCCGAGTCAGACAAGTGGGGTCAGGAGACTCAGAAACTCATTAGGAACAGGCCTTGTGTCTGACCTTTGTGCACACACAGCAGGGAACATGGTTTAATTCTACTTGGCAAAAGGCACTATCACTGCCATATGGCTCAGAGACCTGAGCTGTGTGCAAGCTCACTGTGGTGAATTTAACTTCCTCCTTTACCATTTTCAACTCACCAACCAGGTCTTTGCACATGCCTGGGGTAGGTGCCCTTCCCATCTATCTGTCCAGCAAATTTCTGTTCATCCTTCAAGTCTCTGCTGAAACATCAGCTCCTGGAGAAAGGGGCTTCTTAGATTTAGGGGCTCCCCCGCTGAGCCCCTCCATCCCCTCACCCACTGATCAAATCCTGGCATTAATGGTGTGATGAAGATCCTAGCTGTTAATGTTACTGAGCCCTCTCTGTGCCTGAGAGTGTTAAATACTCTCATTTAAATTTCAAAATCATTTTATTAGATAGGTACCATTAGAATCGCCACTATACAGATGAATGAACTGAGACTTGGAAAGGATGAGTAACCTACTGAGGTCCTGGTCAGTGTTGGACCCTAGAGCCCGAGCTCATGACCAGTACTCTACACTGTCCATCTCCTGCACTGGCCTGTGAACATTTCTGGGGTAGAAATTAGGTAGGACTCATCTCTGTCCCCAGAGTGGCACACAGTAGGTTCTCCAGGAATATCTACTGGATGGATGGATGGATCAATGGATGGATACGATGGGTGGATGGACAGACGGATGGATGGATTCTTGTAGGGTTGGCAAGATGAGGATTCTTGTGTCCATTCTGTATGAGGAAACTGAGGCTCAGAAAGGGCTTTTCTAGAGCTCAGAGCCCAGATCCCAAAGTCCTAGCAGCCCTTCCTTCCCTATTCCACCCTCTAGCTCAAGGAGGCAAGGGAGCTATGATTCTCCTGCTGCCTCTTCCAGAGCTGCCTGCCCTACTGCTCTGCCCTTCCTCCTCTCTGGTAGACAATCACCTTTCCTAGGAGCTATGCCTGGGGAGTCAGAGACTGGGGAGAAGATGGGTGGAATCTGAAGAGCTTTTCACATAGTTGTGCAGATATAGTTTACCGAAGGTGGACAAGGTAGGCACTGTCTTTCTGATAAGCAAACACAATGGGAGTGCACAGATGTATAAAATCCAAATCAAATAACCAAACTCACTGCCACTGAGTCGATTCTGACTCATAGCAACCCCTATTGGGTTTCTAAGGTGGTAAATCTTTACAGAGGTAGATTGCCCATCTTCTTTCCATGGAGCAGCTGGTGGATTTGAACCACCAACCTTCTAGTTAGCAGTCAAATGCCTTAGGCACTATGCCACCAAAGCATCTATATAAACCAAAGTCCTCTGAAACAAACATAGGAAAACTATAAAATGAAAAAAAAGCCAGGTATAGTCCCCATAGGAACACCTGGCTACTAACTAAAAGGTTGGTAGCTCTAACCCACTAGTGGCCGTGGGAGAAAAGACCTGCCATCTGCTCCTGTAAATATTACACCTAGGAAACCCTATGCAGCAGTTCTATTCTTTCCTATGGGTTTGCTATGAATTGGAATAGACTTGATAATGCACAACTAGATAGTCCCCATAGGCTTGTGATCCATTATTGAGCAAAGGTGCTAAGGAAGGGGCCTTGGTTTGACTTGTCCTTGATGCCTCTGGATCAGGATAGGTCCCAGGCCCATCTGAGTCACCATCTGAGGACTGTCTGAGGATTTAACACCAGTCCCCATAGACCTGCCAGGCTCACAGGACAGCACAGGGTATGAGCTCTGTGAGTGTGGGTCTCCTAGTGTGGGATAATAATGTGCTTCATGACGCTCTGGCGCCCTCTGGTGGCCTGTGGGATGCCCCCCCCCCCATCTCTGGCAGCAGTGGGGAAGAGGGGCCTCTAGGAGCACCCCTCCCAGTCTGGAAGATGAGGCTCTGGAAGCTTGGCCTCATCACCATGGTGAGGCCTCCTGGTTTCAGTCTGGCTTCTCCTTTTCATATCTCTAGGCTGCTGAGAGGTCTTTCTCCAATACAGAGCTCCCCTTTCCCATCCGAAATTCTGCAGGGGTTCACCAGTTTGCTGAGCACAAGGTCCCAAATCTTTGGCTCCTCAAAGCCTGGTCCCTATTTACCTCTCCAAACTCAAACTGCTCCCTTGTCCCACCACATTCCAAACCTCCTCATGTCATCAAGCCCTGTACTTTGTTGATTTCCTGAGTCTTCACATGCTGCTCCCCCACCCCACCTCTCCTCTTATCCACCCAGGCCCTGCTTAACTGTCACTCATGTGACTTCTCCTCCTACCAACCACTCTCACGCTGGGTGGACTGAGTCCCTCCCTCCTCTGCTCTCAGGAACCCCCACGGGATGCCCCTTCAGTACTGTTGGTCCTCATTGGCCACCCAACTGGTGCTCTTCAGCCTCTCTACTTTCAGTCCTACAGAGAGGAGACAGCAAGAACTGATGACCAAAGGACCCAAATGCCACCACCCTCAGCATCACAGCCCCTGCTCCTTCAGACCCTCGTTACCATAGATCTTGAAGGCGTAGTTTGCCTTGAGATCGCGGGGAGCTGATTCACAGAGCACGGAAAACATGTCAACAAAGTCATTGAAGGTGAGGTTCCCCTCGCCGTCCTCAGAAAAGGCCTCCACGATCCTTTCCTTGAAGGGATTCTCCTGAAGGAAACAGCCATGGCAACCACCATGGGAGCAGATTAACTGAGAAGGCTCTGGAGCCAGACTGCCTTCAGCCTGTGTGACTTGGTTGAGTGACCTAATCCTTCTGAGCCTCATCTCCCCATCTGTCAACCCCAAACTCATTGCTATGGAGTTGATTCCAATGCATACTGACTCTACAGGAAGTAGAATGTCCTCATAGGGATTCCAAGGCTGTAAATCTTTACACAAGCCGACTGCCACCTCTTTGTTCTGCAGAGCAGCTGGTGGGTTCACCACCTCTTAGTTAATGAGTTCAGAGTATGTCAAGTGTTGGTATGAGGCCTGGCATACATAAGAGCTTAGCAAGTGTTAAGTTACGTCATATTGTATCAGTTAGGTAAGTATAAAAATCTTAGCTGATCCAACTTGTCCTCACTGGAGGCATTGCCTCACCTGAAGTGGAGCAGGGACTGGTCTGTTGCCCAGAGGTGCATCTGAGGTTTCCTGCCTGGAATTTCCTGCCTTGATGTGCAGGGCTGTGTCCCTAGCAAGTGAAGACGACAGCCCAGGGCACAGGCAGCTCTAGCTCAGAAGTTACAGGCCAGGATTACAGGAGGTAGAAGTAGGGATCCAAAGGATCAATTAACTGGACCAGGTTTTGGCAGTGACACCCACAGCACTGGTTCAGACCCCCAGCCAGCAATCACCCACACCAAACTTCCAAATCTGTTGCCATCAAGTCCAACTCATAGCCACCCTATGGGACAGAGTATAACTGCCTCCATAGGGTTTCCAAGGCTGTAATCTTTAGGGAAGCAGACTGCCTTATCTTTCTTCCATAGAGTAACTGGTGAGTTCAAACTGCTAACCATTTGGTAAGCAGCTGAGTGCTTAATCACTGTGCTGCTAGGGCCAATCTCCTATGAATTCTCTGATGTCACTTCCTCCAAGGAGTCACACCACCTACTCTGTTTTCTGATTCCAGAGCACTCAGCACCCCCTCTCCTTACTCCAATGACCTAGCACCCCTCCGTGCCCAGCCCCAGGCCACAAGAGAGGACTCAGAGGCAAACCACATGGTCCCCACTCAGGAGGGCCTCACACTCAGTGACCCTCTGAGCTGATCTCAAGCTCCTCTCTGCCATTCTGGGCACTTCTCTACGGCTGTAACTGGGACTCCGTGACTCTCACGACTGAAGTTACCTTCACAACCAGGCCCCAAGAGGATGCTATGCGGTGCTCTGACCCCAGCTGCACATCCCAGGCCTGGCCAAAGGCTACTTGCAAAGTCCTACAGCAACGTGGAGCTTTGGCCCAAATGTTTTACATTTGAAATAATAAATACCTTGAATTACACTGAATACTATTACTCAGATAAAATTCAAATATTATTGTTTGAAATAAATAATAAAGGTAAGGAACTCATGAAATGAAACTTTTATTTCAAATATATATGAACCCGGGTCATTTGTGTGCATGTTGAAGTTTGCGAAGTGATGCTATCCATAATTATGCTGACTTCAGTGAGAGGTCAGGGCCAGAGAGAAGGGAAAATTATCTTCAAAAACAGACACAGGGTTAAATGGCTGGTGCCATTTAACAAAGGGGCAGCAGGAGAGCACAGGGTAAGAGCTCAGCTGACCTGGGGCAGCACCAATCCATAGTACCCTACCGAGACCCACACATGCAGCTCATTTAGTTACAGTACAGATGGGGAAACTGAGGCAGAGAGGTTCAGGAACCACTCAAGGCCACACAGCCTCTAAGAATGGAGCTGGAGTTGTGATGCCCCTGCTGCTTTGTCCCACCCAGAGGTGTAGACAACCCCCTTCCACCACCCCCAACCCACCTGCCCCGCCCAACGGCCCCTCCCATACCCGGAGCTCTGGCATCTGGATGATGAGGCTCATGGGCACGTGGACGATAGGGCTCTTCCTGTAGTCCATCGGGACGAGGTTGGGGGCCAGCTCGTAGAACCGTGCATGGAGCCTGCCAGGGAAGCAGAGGAAAAGCATTGGAGGCGACGAGCCACAAGGGATCTGGTGCTGCCTCACCTGCACCCTCTGTTTCAGGTGCTGGAGATTCTCCTTGGCCATGAGCTGGAGAAGGGCCCAGAGAGGCCTTCTGCTCCACCCAAAGGGTATGAGGTTTGGAAGTGATGTGGGTTCTGCCCAGGCCTCTCTGCTTATAACCAGATTATGTTCTGATCCTGCTTCCACCACCTACACACACCACCACCACCACCACACACCACCACCACCACCACATCTCCATCCCTGGTGACCTGCAGTCAGATCTTTTTTTCCCCTTTGGGCTCTCATAAGTGTTTTCTGTGTGCCAGGCATTGTGTAAGCACTTAACATACTTCACCTCATTTAATCCTCCCCACAGCTGATGCACTGTGAACCCAGTTTACAACTCAGCAAACTGAGGGCTAAAGAGGTTAAGAGTGGTTTGTCCAAGTCCACACAACTAGAAAGTATCAAGGTCCTCAGCTGGAACCCAGGACTGTGGAAATTCAGAGCAGAAACACTTAACTATTCCTCCTCCTTCAGCTTCTGCTATCTCCCCACTCCTGAGTCTCTGCTTTCTGAAGTCTTGGTCCAGTTCCTGGGCTCCCTAATGTAGGCCTCGAGGGTTGGGTCTCTGGAGGAGCTCTCAGCAGCCCTCTCAGTCCTCGAGAAGCCCCTGTGAATGTGCCATCCACAACCTCTCTCCAGATGGGAGCCATCAGGACCAAGCCCTGAAGGGTCAGGTCCCCTGGCTCCTGTCCCTTCCTCTCTCCTACTCGTACTCAATAGCCCAGTGCTCAGAAATCCCCAAGCCTGGAACCCAAGCCCACCCCAAGACATTGTGCAGACCTTCAAGAATGTGAGGCATCTTGACTCCATCTCAAGTTGGAAGTGCCCCCCCCACACACACACACTGTTTAGTCCTTTGCACTGTGTTCCCATGTCCAGGTCTCTCCGATCCATGAAAATAGCCTCCTCCTACCCCAAGGCAAGTACAACTTGATTTCAAATGAAACTGTATCCATGAACTACTGCCAGATGGGGGAAAACTGCAAAGAGTATTGACTGGGGGCTGAGATGGTTTACTTACCCAAGGTGAGGTATGGGGCTGCTGGAGACTGGATGGGATGTGACCTCCATATCTCCCAGACCTGGTGCTACCCTGACACCCTCAATACCAGATCACTTCTGGTCTTCTATGTGGTTTGACTCAATGATAGTCCCAGGCCCATCCTTGGGGGTCTTTCAGCATAATCACCCAACCCTCTAGTAGACCCTACTCGATTCTGATCATCCTGCTGTCTCACCCTATCTGGTAGAGAAAACAGAGTTTAATTTATCTACCCAGCTCACACAGATAATACCATCAGCCATTATTTAGCAAGAGCTTCTTCAAATTACTATGTGCATTACTCTACTTAATCTAATCCCCAAACTACCCTGAGAGATAGGTATGAGTCCCCTCTATTTTCCAGGTGAGGAAACTTGAGATTCAGGGGGTGAAGTGCCTGCCCAGGGTTACAGAGCCAATGAGCAGTGAGACTGGGACTTGAACTCAGGCCCTCTGGATTCCAAACACCTGGCTCTTACCTGCAGATAAGGCTACCTTAGTGACCACAGGGTAAATCCATCAGGGTAAACACAAAGCAAAATGCCACAAACCCACTTTCCCAGTCATGCACGCCAGTAAAAGAGCCTAAAATCACAAGTTTTTCTTGGTAGGTGGGGTGGGGGGAGGTGGTATTGAAGAGGGGTGGGGTAGGAACCAAAAACCTATTCTTTGAATAGGAAGGGGTCAGCAGATACTCGTCTGGGTATAAATTTTCCCATCAGTAAAATGGAGGACTGCTTACTTTACTCACACTTGTGAGGATTAAATTATCAGTTGCTTTTGAGTTGATTCCAACTCATGGCAACCCCTGTTACGTCAGAGTAGAATGCACTCCATAGGGTTTACAATGGCTGATTTTTTCTGGAAGTAGCTCACTAGGACTTTCTTTTGAGGAGCCTCTGGGTGAACTTGAACTGCCAACCTTTCAGTTAGCAGCTGTGGTAGTTATGTTTGTGTGTCAACTTGGCTGGGCCTGGTTGAGTGGCTGGGCAGCTGGTGGTAGTTATTCCCCATGATAAGAGTGGCAATCAACTCCATGGTGGGATCTACCACAAGCAGCTGAGTAGCTGCCTTAGGGATGTGGTCTGCTTCCTGCATATAAGGAGAAGCCTTGGGAATGGTCTCTAGTTTATGGCACTCTTGGACCCTGCATGTAGCTGTGTCATTGTTCAGCAGCCTGCCATGCTCTGCTGACCCTGGGACTTACAATGGACTTGAATTAATGGCCTGCCATGTGCTTTAGTAACATCTGGACTGTGCCTTTTTACTTGTCAACCTTGGGGGTTCTCAGCCTCAGCAGCCAGCAGCTGTCTGAGTGAAGAAATGCCTCTAGCTCCAGTGGGCCAGGAGCAGGAGGCAGAGCTGGACCCCAAGGTTGAGGGGCTTTCAACCAGCCCCTAGAGGCTGGCACTTTGAACTTGGACTTAAAGCCTCCAAACTGTAAGAGAATAAACTCCTGTTTGTTAAGGCCATCCCATTTGTGGTATATTTCTGTCAGAGTGGCACTAGGTAACCAGAAAAGCAACTAAGCACTTAACCGTGTGCACCACAACCACCCCGAACTCAACTGGTAGCTATTAGCATGCTGCCTGCTGTGTCAAGGGCTCCCTGAAAGGGGGTAACTTGGGGATGGGGTTGTGGGTGGTTTGGCAGGAATGAGGGGGTGTTTTCTGGGATGGGAAGGCCAGCTCTGCCTCAGTACACACAACACAAATCTCTTACAACTCTATGACCAAAGTGAGCCTGAGGTTTTGTTTTGTTTTAGGAAAACAGCTGATCACATTTGACCCAAGGAGAATTTGAAAATCTAAATCACTGTGGGAGTGTCACCCTCCACTCCCCTAAAACGGGCATTGAGTTCATGAAGATTTACATATTAGACCTATTAGATCTTCCAGGACCAGAAATAATGCCTATGCTACTTAAACTGGGGAGCTCTGGTAGCGTAGTGCCTAGAGCACTTGACTGCTAACCAGAAGGCTGGCGGTTCAAACCACCAGCCACTCCTTGGAAGGAAGGTTGGGCCATCTACTTCCGTAGTGATACCGCTTCGGAAACCCAAGGAGGGGTCGCTGAGTCGGGGCCGACTCGATGGCACGTAACAACAACAACTACTTAAACTGCTCAGAGCATTGGGGAAAAAGTGAAAGCTTCTAAGTTTATGTCAGAAAGTGAATTAAAAACAAACAAACAAAAAACCTGATGTTGTTGTTGTTGTTAAGTGCCATCGAGTTGTTTCCGACTCATAGCGACCCCATGCACAGCAGAACGAAACACTGCCCGATCCCACGCCAGCCC